GTCTTTATTCTGGTTTCTTTAAAATTTGGTTGGAAGTTGATGCTTTACTGGTTATAAATTGCCTTTCAGCTGAGCATAGTGGGAATTTTGATACTTTTTATATTTTAAAAGATATAAAGAAGATGCTTTCTCATCTTGATTACAAAATTTCTCATATTTGGAGGGAAGGAAATGCGGCTGCAGATTTTTTAGCCAAGAATGGGGCTGTTTTGTTGCAAGATACTTATTATGATCCTAATAATATACCTTTTCCTTTAAGAGGTATTATTAATCTGGACAAATCAGGATTACCTTATATCAGATTTTAATTTTTTGGGCCATGTTGTCTTTTATTCTTTTATGGAATATAATGTTTGCCAATTCCCTTTGTAATTTTGGTTCTTTTCTCTGGAATGTTTGCTGTTTTATGCTGTTACAAGATCATCAGGCTTTGGGGTATTATTGGTCCGATTTATTTGGTTGGAATTTTGTGATAATTTCTGTGAGCAATACTTGTATGGACTGGATCTTTACGGCATTCAGGTTTTGGAATGGCTTATTTGTTTGGAAGCCTGAAGATTTAAGCTGGGTTTTGGGTTATGTTCTTTATTTTTACCTTATTACTTTGGGAATTATGGTATTCTTATATTCTGTAATTGAATATAGTTCAAATGAGCCAATTTTCTTTTCTATTTTCTTAAGTATTTTGTTAAATAATTTCTCTCATATTCTTATTAGTGTAAAAATTAATATCTTTTTCTTCTTGGAGTTGTTTTTCTTTTCTGGATCAATTTGGTATAGGTATGAAGAAGGTTTTAAGGAGCACAAGTGGTAAAGAATTAAGGTATTTGGCTAACTGCAACCATCAAGGAAATAAGAAGAATGTTTTTTTTTTGGAGTTTGCTGGATTGGCTATTTGAATAAGGACTTGAAGAATTCTGCTTTAGAGGATTTTTTAGGTTTTTTTCTTTGTTTCATGTATTTAGTAAGAGACTTAAGGCTCATTAGATTTTTGCTTTCTTTTGTTTTTCTTTTTTATTTAAATGTATTTTCCTTTTTTTCTAGTTGAGCCTCTAATCTCTTTTAAGGACTCTTTGTAATCGCTTATTTTAAATAAACACGTAAGCCCCTTCAGAGGGTTTTAACCAAAAAAAAAAAAAAAAACCCCTAAACCCTAAACCCTACCCTATACCCTATACCCTATTCCCTAGACCTTATACCCTATACCCTATACCCTATACCCTGAATCCTGAACCCTGAACCTTAAACCCTAAATCCTAAATCCTAAACCCTTTAAACCCTAAACCCTAAAAAAACCCTAAACTTAAACACTAAACCCTAAACCTTAAAAAAAAAAAAAAAAATCCAAAACCGTAAAACCTAAAACCTATACTCTAAACACTATACCCTATACCCTTTACCCTATACTTTATACCATATACCCTACACCGTACACCCTGCACACTATACCCTAATACCCTAATACCCTAATACCCTAATACACTAATACCCTAATACCCGTAACACTTAACCCTTAACCATTAAACCTTAACCCATAACCCTTTTCCCTTAACACTTAACCCTTAACCCTTAACCCTTAACCCTTAACACTTAACCTTTTAACCCTTTAACCCTTTAACCCTTAAAACCTTTAACCCTTAACCCTCAACCCTTAACCCTAAACCCTAAACCCTAAACCCTAAACCCTGAACCCTAAATGAACCCTAAACCCCAGAACCCCGAAACCCAGAACCCGAAACCCCGGACCCCGGACCCGGAACCCTAATCTCTAAACCCCAAACCCCAAACCCAAAACCCGAAACCCGAAACCCGAAAGAAACCCGAAACCCGAAAGAAACCACAAAGAAACCCCAAAGAAACCTGAAACCCTAAACCCTCATCCCCTCAACCCCTCAACCCTCAACCCTCAAACCTCAACCCTCAACCCTCAACCCTCAACCCTCAACCCTCAACCCCTCAACCCCTCAACCCTCAACCCTACACCCTATACCCTATACCCTATACCCCAAAACACTATACCCTAATACCCTATAACCTAATACCCTATCACCTAATACCCCAATACCCTAATGCCCTATATCATATACCCTATACCATATACCCTATACCCTATGCCTTATACCTTATTTAGCCCTGTACCCTATACCTTATACCCTTTTTCCATATACCTTATACCCTATACCCTATACCTTAATACCCAAAAACCCTAATACCATAATACCTCAATACCCTATACCCTATACCCTATACCATATACCCTATACCCTGAAACTTAAACCCTAAATCCTAAACCCTAAACCTTTTAAACCCTAAACCCTAAACCCTAAAAAAACCCTAACCTTAAACACTAAACCCTAAACCCTAAAAAAAAAAAAAATAAACCCTAAACCGTAAAACCTAAAACCTATACTCTAAACCCTATACCCTATACCCTTTACCCTATACCCTATACCATATACCCTACACCCTACACCCTACACCCTATACCCTAATACCCTAATACACTAATACCCTAATACCCTTAACACTTAACCCTTAACCATTAAACCTTAACCCATAACCCTTTTCCCTTAACACTTAACCCTTAACCCTTAACCCTTAACACTTAACCTTTTAACCCATTAACCCTTTAACCCTTAACCCTCAACCCTTAACCCTTATCCCTAAACCATAAAACCTTAAAACCCTAAAACCCTAAACCCTAAAACCCTAAACCCTAAACCCTAAAACACTAAACCCCTAAACCCTAAACCCTAAATCCTAAACCCTAATCCATAAAACATTAAAACCCTAAACCCAAAAACTCGAAACCCCAAATCCCTGAAACCCAAAAACTGAAAAACCTAAAAACGAAACCTAAAGCCCAAAACTCGAAACCCAAAACCCAAAACCTTAAACCCTAAACCCTAAACCATAAACCCTATCAATAGATGACTAAGTGCGAAATAGAGTTGCCTATGGTTAGTTTTCCAAAATGTTGATATTTGTGTGCAATTAGTTATACCTTGTATATATGTGATAAGTAGACGTGTTGCAGAGTCCTGAATCCCCAAGACCAAGAAGTAATTTATGGGTAAAGTTTCAATCATGCTCTAATCATACATATAACTTTGAGGGCAATGGCCTCTGATTTCATTACACAATATATTTTTCTATTAGCCCAACATATGGGGGAAGTGCAAAGTAAGATGTTGGAGTGATATGAGATGATAGATAAGCATTTGAAGCTATTTCTACATCTGGAGCCTCCTCACTTTTAGGGTGTAATGAAATCTCATGAAGCTAAGGATTGGCTAACGAAGTTAGAGAAGTTATTTGATAGCATGTCGTGTCCTAAAAATAGAAATGTGTTATTAGTTGTGATTTTGTTAGATGGTGATGTTGAGCATTGATAGTTGAGCCAGTATAACGAGAAGTTTTAGAATAAGGTAAATGCCAAGATTTCATGATGTGCAGACCCTTGGTTATTTAACACTACACTCAAGTGTTGGTGCAATGGCCTTTACACATTCTTCATTATATCAAATGAATAAAAAAAATGCTTTTAGTGAAAACCATAATATTAACACAATATATTAAAGTATTAATGGCATGATTATTTAATAAATTTTATGTTGACTACCAACTACATAATTAAACACTCCACTATTTCTCATCTAAGGCTTGAGATCTAACAACATAGTGCTCTATAAGGCTAATCAATCATCTTTAAAATAATCATAAGGGATTACTCGCATTAGAAATAAAAGACTAGCCCAAGAAGGTGACCCATCCTTTGTAATAAGATCTATAATGAGTAGAGTGTAAGCCCCTTCCAACCAACAAGTCTAGATGGTTACTCCAGTGAAGATCGAGGTTTGGAAAAAGTTAAGGTCTATTTAAAATCATGATGCACAAAAGAATGAATAAAATGCATGGCCCTAGAAGGCAACTCCTATTTTTGTGATGAAACACAATGAGTAGAGTGCGATTCCCTTCAATTCGACGAGTCTAGATGAGGCCCACATGAACTCAAATCTAAATGTGGCACCCATCTAACGTGAAATTATCAGAGATCACCAATATAAGGAGAAAACGCCCAAATAAATAATAGTCATTATTATGCCTACATAGTGAGTCAACATTCACTCCCACAAAGAGCTAAAGAAACTCAATTTAGTCGAAATCGTTAAAGATAAAGTTCAACAAACCAGCATATTACAACTTGAAAATTGAGTAAACTCGTTCCTCTCTTAGAAGAGTTTAAATTAAAAAGGAAAAAAAATAAGAAATGAAAGAAGAATAGATGAGAAAAAACTTTCAAAGAAGTTAAAACTAAAAATTCAATATACTTAAACTAAAAGTCAATCGACATATTGACAACATAAATCAACTTTGGAGAAACTTATTTCTAAGTAAAATTCAGCTAAATAATAAAAGGGAAGACTAACTTAGGTTTAGGATTGAAACAATCTTGACTTGGGTTAAGTCTAACCATTATGACTACTTCATGCGGGCAAGAAAAGGTCCCCAAGTAAACAACCTGCATGCACGCTAAGGTCTCCAGGTAGATCGAAATTTTGCACATGATGAAGTTGCTTTTATACTTAACTAAGGGAGAGAATTCAACTTCAGAGAGAAAATATATATATTGTAAATTTCAATGAAAACCTAACACTATCGAGCACATACACGAGTGAGAATACATGTCTATTCAATAAAAGAATACACATTCCAATGAATTATCTTCGTTTTGTTCTCTCGCAAATACAGAGATCTTGGACATCTTTATATCATTCAAAAAATGAATAATAAATTATAAAAAATGTTTTAAAATATAATATTCTCCTTTAATTAATGAGTTCCAATCCCTTCATACCTAAGAAACTTCTACTATTCATATCTTCATCACGGGGCTAGCATTGGAAAACATGTTAGGAGGTTTCTCAAGTACCATGGCCCTAAGATCATCATCAAAATTTCTATGTGCGCAAAACTGTTCGTCGAAATGCCCAAGTAGAGAAGAAGAGTTAATAGAATCTGGCAAGCCGAAGCCATAAGAATCTGCAATTAATAGCAGCTATGTAGACTTGTCTCGAACTTACTATCACGAAGAAAGAAGAAAGAAAAAAGAAAAAAAAAACCCCCGCAGTTTACATTAACCGATATATGGGGATAACCAAAAAAAAGGCAAATTGAGAAGCAACTCATAATTAAGAAGCTGAAATCGTGGATATAACGCAACAACATTTGCGGATATATGCGCGCGCATTCGTGGAACCTGTGTGGCTAGCTACCTTCCCCGGAGCAGAGCCTTCTCAGCGGTGTCGACCTCCTCGAGGATCCTGGCCTTGCGCTTGGCGGGTATAGGAGCAGTGGGACCAAAGTTGATGTAGTGGCCAGAGACCGCATTGATAGCTGAGTACATGTCACGGAATGAGGCCCGACCGAGCAGAGACTTCTCCCTGCGGTACTTGGCCACCCAAATGTTGGATGCCTCACGCAGCTCGGCCACTGCCGACGCCACGTTAGGATCCTTCCTGTCCATATTGACTGTAGACCTCACCTTGTTTATCACCTCGGCTGTTTCCTTCACGTACTCTTCGTCCACTTCCGCCGCTGCAAATGTTCGGCCTGGTGCTGACACACAACCAAGCAATAGCCCTGAAGCAGCTAGGGAGATGGCCACTTCTCGCCGTCCTAATAAGCTTCTGCTGCAATTTTTAAAGCATAAGGATGCATTAATTGTAACTTGATGAGGCTTGGAAGGGATGAGGGTTGTCGGCTTTGAGGTGGGTGTCGTCAAGTTTAGAGATGCCATCACCAAGATTAGGCTTCTACCAATTTGTAAGAGGCTGCTATATATGTATCTTGCTTTTTTAATTTGCTGAAGCGGTCCTGATGACCAGGATAAGGGAAATCCAGATCTCGTTCCGAAGACGGACAACTGCTGTTCGAGAGAGAGAGAGAGAGATCTGGGAAGAAGTGACAACAATTGAAGGGGCGACCCAAGAAAGATTAATTGGTGCCACGTCGGCTTATCACCTTATCCTTCCGACTTGTACTTGGATGAATGACGTAGGATTCATCATCCACCGTCGACTCACCAATGGCTGATAACGCTTAGGATAGATATTCGTATGTGACATTGGTGAATTTTTTTCTACGGAAAAAATGATATACTAAAAAAAAATAAAGGTTGTGAAAATCAGGTCGGACAATGAATCGGACAAAATAGAGGTTCAGGTTCAACCGGTCAAACCAAAGCTGAACCGGATGATGTAGTAAATAATAATATTATTAAAATTTTAATAATTAGCTTCACCTCTATGTCCATTTAATATCCTATGATTCTTATGACACTATTTTGACATTCATTAAGCATATGTAACAATTCAAAAAAATTAATAATACTACAACAAAATCAATAAAATATAAATTAATAAGTAAATAACATATAACACAAACCAATGCATACCTTAGTTCGACGATGAGTACCAGCAATTCATAGTTGAAACCCCAGTTTTTTGCCACAGTTGCAAGATATCGACCGAGACGTGGATGAAATCTCATTTGTGTATTAACACCCTTCAAAAAAAATCCAAATAAAACTTTAGACATTTATGCTCTGCATCAAATCCATATATTGAAAATTAAAGTAGAAATAGCATGATCATAGAGGCAAGTAAATGAGTAATCTAACATGATTCATCTGAAAGCGTAAAGACAATAATGAGTTCAAAGGAAAGAAAAAATAAGATTCATTCATTTATGCTCTTTATCAAACCCTATATTGAAAATGAAAATAGAAACAACATGATCAACCTTCGTCACATTTTAATTTTTTTTTTTTATCTGATCTAACAACCTATTTAGCAGAAAACCAAGGATTTGATAAGAATCAAAGATTTTAGGGTTAAAAAAAACTTACATCCACGGTTAATATGAGGAGAAAAAGCAAGGATGACACCTCAGACAACCAGGATGATGTCGTTGTCGAGTTCGCGAATGGCTTTGAGGATTATGTCGGAGATGAAATGTCGAAAACGGACTACCGGAGATGAATGGGACACAAGGTGCAAGCAAAATGAATTGCAGTCTGGAGGGAATCCAAAGTTATTAGGATTTTTTCTTTTCTGCATTTACTCATTAGCCGTTGGATCTAAATCAACGGCTCACATCCGCAAGTTTGAAAAGGTCTAAAAAATAAAATAAATTTAAATTAAAAAAAAAAAGCTTGAAAAGGTCTATTTAATATCTCATAAATCAAAAGCATTAAAATGTTGAAACTTGCTTCAGTAAATATTCTCTTAATAAATAGAGAATATGAGTATTTATCGTGACAATTTAAAAGCTTATTTCACTACAGGAAAATCAGCGTTTACCGGCGGTCAAATAACAGCTGAAATTACCAGCGATTAAACCGGCTGTCGGACTGCCAGTATTAACCGGTGGTTTACCCGGGGGTGTTTAGTAAAAATCGCCGGAAATGCCTACGGTAAAATAACCCCAGGGTAAGCCGCCGGTTTTGTTGATTTCACGTCGCATTTACTGACAGCTTATCCACCGGTGTTAAGTATTTTTTTTCCAGCTGTCGAAACCGTCGGATAACTGCTGGAAATTGACCCAAAATTTTCGGCTAGAAAAAATTCCTCCTTATTTGTTCGTGTATCCTTTTCCTCCTGACGCCGCACTCGCAATCACCTCCAACTGCCTCCATAAGAATCCGCCCGCCAACACCCTAACTCTAGCCGGCGATCTCATCCTCACTCCGGCCGCCGATCACGCCCGCACTCTGCTGCTGAAACCCGTCGAGCACTCCGGCAACGCCACGAACCGAAGGTTTGAATTTTTTTCTTTTATTAAATTTTTTAATGTTAATGTGTCATACTTTAAAACTATGGGAGAGGGTTATGGAACACAGATTGCGGTGTGATGCTATTTGGCAAAATCAATTTGGATTCATGCAAGGTAGGTCAACTATGGAAGTCGCTGGTAAAATTAACTGTCGGAAATTAACCGCCGCAATTCGTTTCCTACGCCGTTTATACCTGTGGTTAATAAACCGACCTTAGTTTTCAAAACCGTCGGAAAAAGCCGCCGGTAATTAGCAATTTTTCTGTAGTGTGTGATAAGTTTAGATATTAGAAGGTGATTAACTATTACTTATACCCATAGCAGATTGACAGTTTAGAGAGAATGAATAAAATAATGCTTGATATGATCAAATTCATGATGGATCAAATTAACAAACTAATCTTGGGGGAAATACTTTGCTAACAACATCATATGTTCTGATCAATAATAGTATGCTAGTTAACTCCATCCATACAACTCTATATACAAACTCATGAAATTAAAAAAGATCATCCGTATAATTCTTTCGATCCTAGGGGTAAACAACTTATACTCATGGTTATGGATATAAATATAAGAAACTTGAACCTAAACATTAAAATTGTATCTTTATTAGAAACTATTAATAGTTTAAAAACTATGAATTCATTGGTAAAGTAGATATGACCCTCAATGAGCTATGCCTATCTTTGTTGGTAATGAATTCCCCAAAAAGAGGTATATCACTAAAGATTTTCAATTATAAGCTAAATGATTACATTGATATTTTCCAAAGTGAACTAGTTGAGTTTATTTAAACTATTGATGGTGGGCAAGAAATACCATTTGAATATGTTTAAAAAAAAAAATAGAAAATCATCTATGTAAAAGCATGTGTGTTCGAATCCCTTGAGAACAAATTAATATTACCTACTAATGATAAAAAGCCTTAGGCTATTCATGAAACTTTGCAATGTTAGAAATTTAAAAGGCGGGTTAGGATAACGCATGAAGAAATGCAATCAATGAAAGTTAACCAAGTTTGGTTTTTGGTCTTGCTACCTAGAAGGAGAATTATTTGGTGTAAATAGATTCTCAAAATGAAATGAAATGTAATTGCTTAGGATCATTATAGTTATAATAGCTCAATCATAACTCAAGTTGTTTCATACTCAAGTTGTTTCACATGGCTTAAATATTAATAACTTGTCTTCACACACACACACATGCAGATAAATATATATATTATTGTTCATGCTTAGCATAATAACATAAAATGCATAAAATTAAATATAAGTAATAAAATAAAAGAAATATAATAAAATTAAAGTTTCATTATAGCAGAATGAGTGTTTACCCAACATCAACATAAAAGTCATTAAATCATAAAAATCATTATGTCCAAAATTAGCTATCGAGTATCAATAGATTGTTGATTATGATAAAGTCTATAGATAGCAGCATATGATGACATTCACCATACCATAACTCAAGTATACTCTTATGATTATAGAAGCCACACATAAAAAATATAGGATAACTTATTAGTCACATATCTTTTATCATAAATGATAAACACGTTAAGTTTTACAAAATAATATATAAAATATCATACACTAATAAGGTATTTGAGTGATTATGTCAACAATACTTCACACATGTTATACAACTTATAGATACATAGTATAATACATATAGTACATGTATGATGCACAAAACTCATCATCAATAATAGTTAATAATATATATCAATATAATTGTAGATGATATTATAGATCATAAAATTATACTCAATAATAATATTCCATAGATCATAAATTCACGTGCATGATTGAGAACATATGAATAAAGTAAAGACAAAATCTTATAGGATGACACCATAATTGGGTAAAGTGTGTAGTAAAACCTACCAAATAATACAAAATTGGTAGGAATGCATGAATAACCTCACAAAATATGTAGGAACACTTTTAGACCAAACACCATGACTATAACATGTTACATATTTTTTGAATCTTAAATAAAGATCACTTGTAATTCATTGCACAGTAAAAGTCATTACCACATTTATAAACTATCAATCTACATAATTCAATCATCATAAAAAGCCAATTCTTCTAATAATACCTCACCAAATATGGACAAAAAAGAACAAAAAATGTGAAATACAAATGAAACTTAAAAACCTATGAGAATGCATGTGTGAAACAAAGCTTATTCATTTCCAATATAGGAACATGGTGTCCTACATCATAAGGAAGATAATCACTATGGAAATCAGTGCTACGATCAACCAGTTTAGCCTCCTAACTCTCATATTCTCTTTACCTCCCCATCTCTCTTGCACTCCAAAATGAAGAAATAGAGAGAGAGAGAGAGACAGGATAGCTATAAAAAAGAAAGATTTTATAAGAAATCAACATCTATTTTCATATAATGCTAAAAATATATAAATTAAACTTCACTAAGATGGCTAGAAAAACGAACTTCAGAAAACAAAAAAAAGTGCAATCGCACAAGAATATATATTTTGTATTGTAACACAATTCAATGGAAAGTAAAATTCTAACAATGTGATCATCATACATATTAATGTGTATCATATGCATAATTTTTCATAAAAAAAATTCCTTGAATTTCACATGTGACATATATGGAAGATAATCTCATTACTCTATCACACTACAGCTAAATGCACTATTACTAGCGGATGAAATTCGCCAGTAACAATCAAAATCTGCCGAAAATAAGACATTTTCAACACAAACTATTTCGACGGTAATTCACGCGTCGGAAAGTCAACACTGGCAATTTTTTTTGCCGAAAATATTTTCAATGGATCTTTCGGCGAAAAAATAGGAGCAGTTGAAGCCTTTTACAATGTCGAATTCCGACATAAGATCCGTCAGTAATTCTGGCGAACAATCTCCACCGGAAATACCGGCGCATAATCTGTCGCCTAAAAAATATCGTCCTATTATAAACGTACATTATCGTCGTAATATCCGCCGGAAGTAACGAGGCAAATTTCTGTCGGAAACGTCATTGTATCGTATTACCGGCATTATTTTTGAGAGCTGCCCCGACCACTACGGGAAAACACGCGATTACCGTCGGATTTTCCGGCGGAAAATTTTGCGCCGGTACGAACGGTGCAGGTA